ATCTGCAAATACTGCGGCATGTTCTGGGCGGCGGGGAAGTCACCCGCCGTCGCGTGCTCGCGGGACACCCACGGCCTGCCCATCGCGCACTGCGCCCGCACCGCGTGGACATGAGAAGGGGCCACCTTGCCTGCAAGCTGCCGCCGCTTCTCAGCGCCTGGTTCAGCAGCGTCGCCCGACACGCGCCCGAGCGTCCTGCTGGGGGGGGGGGCGCCACGGCGGCCGCGAAGCGCCGCACCGCGTCCAACTTCTCGATGCGCTTCCTGATCGCCGACTCCTCTTCCTTCTGGGCGTTGGACCGGCGGCCCCTGCCCTCCGCACCCCCGCCTTCGCCCTCCCGCGGCTCCTCCGCAGCGGCAGGGCGCTTCACCCTCTTCATGGGGTGGCCTGGCGCTGGGGCGGCCAGCAATCTTTGCAGGGCCTCGATCGCGAGCTCCGCGTTCTGCATGTAGGCCACGTTGTCAACGAGCTTCTTCTTCGCGTTCTTGACGTCGATGGCCTCGGGAAACACCCCTGGGTTCTGGAGCGTCGCCGCCGCCGCACCAAAGAGGCCATCCATCGTGTACTTGAAGGGGAAGAAAGGGACGACGGAAGCGCCGTCACGGCGCTGCGCCTTGGTCGCCTGGAGTTCCCATAATCCTGAGCAAGGAAGGTCGCCCCACAGCTGCAGCCGATTCTTGCTCGAGCCCTCTATCCGCCGAGATCGCTGGTTGAAGTACGAGAGGGTCATGGCTTCCAGTCCTCTGTCGCAAGACTCGCGGAGCAGCGCTACCGCGAACTCGCGCTCCTTGGCGCTCGCCGACGCGGGCGCCTGCAACCAGAACTCGTCGGCGTCGACCTCCACCATCAGCCTGCCAGTAGAGACTGGTTGTCCGACACGGAGGGGGCCCCGGGGCTGCACGCGCGACGCATGTAGCGCTCGGTGACGCCCAGGTCCTCGCCGCCGCGCGAGCACTGCACTATGAAGTCCCGGCACTGCTGCTCCCCGTTGCTCGCCTCGAAGGCGTGATGCGTGCGATCCCAGGCTGCCGCGCATTGACTCGTCTGGAACTTGCGCGTGAAGGACGGATCTCGAGCGAATATGCCGTACTCCTCGTGCTCGGGGAAGCGTGCGCCAAGGTACTGCTTGTCGAACAGGCGGGCCGCGATTTCTATCACGCAGGACCTCCTCACGATGGATTCGAACTCCTGCTCGGTGAGGTCGTTGAAAGCGAGCATGGAGTTAACTTCGAGCTTGACCCACCCAATCAACCTGATCATGCGGGTCAGCACGGCATAGGGGGGACGCCCCCTCAGACCCTCGCCGCTGAGGAACTTCCCCCACAGGTGCAGGAGCAACTTCTTCTTGGATCCTCGGGGCCACTCCTGGCCTGAAAACACGCACCCCCCTGCGAGGAGCTCCACGCACTTCCGGAGCTCTTCGTCGTCGTAGAACACGAATGGGTCGAAATACTTGCGAAGCTCGTCGCCCATCGACGTCGCGATAAGGTCGGCGAAGAGGGAGAGGCCGCAGCCGCCCGCACCGAGGAAGACGCAGCACTGGAGCACGTTCAGGCCGCGCTTCGCTATGGCCAGCGCAGAGCGGATAGCGTTGAGGGCCTCGAAATTGCACCAGAAAGTGCTGGACAAGAACTTGTTCACGTCGTCCGTCGCGGCCTTCAAGACTGGGTCGTCCAGGGGCCGCTCTGGGCCCTCGTCCTCCGCGCCCTCATCCTCGTGCGTGGCCGGGGCCAGCGAGGAGCCCATGCAGAAGAAGAAGTCTTTCGGCGTGGGCATCCCGTCTACCACGACCAGCGGCTGCACGACCACGCCGTCGGCCGTCATCATGGGGACACCGTGCTTGACAGCGCGGTCGAGGTAGGACACCCCGCGCGCGGGGGTGACCGACGTGCCACACCACTCCGTGAAGTTCTTGACCACGGAGCCCCCCTGCATGAGCTCGGACACGAGCTTCTTGCCGAAGGATCGGGTACACACAGCAACGTCGATATGACATGGCATTTTCAGCTTCTTCGCCTTGGGCCGCTCGTCCTCATCGCCATCGCGGGGAGGGCAACCGTCGCCTCCCTCGCCCCCAGCTGAAGCGCGCTGCTGCGGGGGGCCGCCTGGCTCGTCCACGTCGGCCACGGCTTCTTCCTGATCGCCCGACCCCTTGTTCCACAAGGAAAAGTGCTCGAACATCTGGAAGGCATTATTCGCTTTCTGCTCGATGCCATCGCCGTCGGACGACTTGATACTGGCGTCCATCTTCTCCAGTACGCCGTTGGCATCTCGCCTCGCATCCTTGCCGACGCAGCGAAACACGCCCTCCAGTCGGTTCATGAAGAGGCGGAAGTGGGCATACATACCCTCGGGAAACAAGCCGGTGCAGGCCCTCCACCCGCCGCTGTTCGGGTCGAAGAAGCGCACGCGGCCGTCGACGCTGATGACGCGAGTGCGGCCGAGAGCCAGCCACATCAAGGTGGCGAACTCGTTCGTGGCAAAGTCGCCGAACCGACGGTTGTACACGGCGAGGGCGGCAGTTGCAAGCCTCATGTACTCCTCGGGCCAGTCGGCGTACTTCTCCACGATCCCCTTCTCGACGCGGCGGCTTTCAGAACGGATGCCCTCCCGAAGCGCGCGCTGGAAACGCTTGGTGCTGCGGACGACATCCGACATGACCTGGGACAGCTCCACTTCGCACTTCTCGAACACCGCCTTGGACCCCTGGACCCCCGGGAAGCGCATGCGCCCCTCGAACACCTCCGAGGGGGGGCCGACCGCCCTGGCCCGCGGCGCAGCCTGAGATAGGCGTTGCGCCGCACCTTGCGACGCGGGGTCTCCTGCGGGCGCTTCGCGGCCCCCAAGGTCCAGGAGGGCGCCCAAGCTTCCTGTCAGATCGACCGCCCCCCCCTCGCCCTCGCCCGCGAAGCTCATGCCGCCCAGAAGTGTAGATCGCGTCGGGGGGGGGGGGGGGGGCGCGCAGCGCTGCGGCTAACTCGAACCAAAGCAGCTGCGTGCATCCGAGCGCCAGGTCGGAGGGGCGAACAGAAACCTGATACCGAGGAGTCGGATAATGAGGATCAGATGGTCTCTAGTAGCAACGGTTGGTGCTGGCGGGCCTGTTTCACACGGTGGCCCCCCACTCTGAAGGCAACGACAGGCAGGTGGCAGTGGCGACGGTGATGGATAATGACGATCTGAGGACGCGAATTGCCTCAGCTTCCGCTTCCAGAGGAGGCGCGCAGAACGGCCCCTTCCCCTACCATGCGAGCGCATGGCTAGCGCATCTCAGAAGACATTCACCTTCAGGAGCGCCTCAATGAGCCTCAGCGGGGCGCAGCTCTTCGCTTCTTGTTGAAGGCGTGGCGCTTCGTGCCCTGTGGCTTCTCCTGCGGGGGGCGATTGGAGGGGGAACGCTTACGAACCCCTGGGAGAGCAACTCCTCGGTTGCTGCTCGCTGCAGCCCCGACCTTGCTCATAGCCCTGGCCGCGCGAACGCGCCCCTTGTGCTCTAGGCGTCGCGCGACCAGGGGCGCATCTGCAGCTCGCACGGCAGCCCACTCATCGTCGAGCAAATGGAAGTCCGACAGCGCACGCAGGGCGACGGCGCGCTGGCCTGTCTGCGACAGCGTCGGGCAATACTCTGCAGAGTTGTGAACGAGCAACTTCAGATCGCCGAATGCCTTGATCGTTAAGAGGAGCGTGGATTGATAGAACAGGCCGTGGAAGCGGAATCGGTTATTCATCTCTGCGCCCAGGGCCTCCACCGCAGCGGCCCCCGAAGACAACTGCGCTAGCTGCTCCTCTGGCACGAGTAGGAGGCGACGCTGGTCATTGAGAACGTAACTCAAGCGCTGGGGGCTGGTGGCTCGCCAGAGAGCCACGTGCACAGGCCCGACCTTCACCGACGGCTTCCTGCGGACCTCCACTAGGAAAGCGGCGCAGAGCGCGGCGAGATCCTCTATGTCATCCTCCACCGAGTAATACGGGGCACTCCCATCCAGATCCTGCAGGCGGTTGGCCGCCGCGTCGGGCGCCATGCTGCACTTGGCGATCCAGTCTCTCGCAACCAGGGCTCGCTTAAACATTTGCACGGCCCCGCTCGGCTGGGGGGGCTGCGCGCGGCCGTCAACCTTGTTCCACTTAGCCTGTGTCGTCCGCAGCGTCTGCCCCGCCGAGGTCTTGGCCCTGCCCTGCGCAGACTCGAACAAGAACGCTATGTGGACGAGGTCGAGAACGAGAAACTCCAAGTTCGGCATCACAGCTTTGAGCTGCGCCAGCAACTCTGGGCCAGGCGAATCAGTTGCCACGGCGCGCGCCTGGGCCAAACAATCGGCGGGCACATGCTGGGCGAGCTCTCGGGCGATGTCCTCTCCGCTCTCGCTCTTGGCCCCCGCGCAGCAGACCGCGGCCCCTGTCCGCCCGCGGACTGCGACGATGCGACGCACCGCCCCCGCGCCAGGAATTGCCGCAGCTTCTCGAACGGCAGCCTTCCCCCGGCAATCCGCCTGCCCGGCGATGCTGCGGCGCGGGCGAAAGAGGCCGCCCAGGGACAAGTGTTGGAATTCGCCGCGCCCCTTGCATTCCTCGAGCGCTGACGCGCGCCGGCGAATCACCCCTTCCGAATACAACACCTTCTCGGCCAAGGTCCTCCAGAACATCTCTTGCGCGCAAGGAATGCGCTCAGCCAGGTCGCAATTCATGCGCAGATAATGTAGAGCAATCCGCGCGCGGACTTCCTGGAAGGCGAAACCGCACAAGAGGAATTCGGCGTGGTACATCTCGCAGGAAGCCCCGGCGACGCACGCGTAGCCGATGCGAAGGCATTGCGCAGGGTTGGAACTGACCACCGTTGCTCGGACGAACGAAACCGCATTGGCGTCGAGGAGGAGGACAACGCGGCGATCGTTGAATGCTTGCACGTCGCCACATACTGCGCCGAGTATCGCTGCGCTCCGAGCCAGATAATCGCGCCGCACCCTGCGCACCATGCGATCGCGGTCAAACAACGCGGCCATGACCCTCAACTGCTTTGCCCCCGCGGCCGCGAAATTGGCGCCGCCCAAACGCAGACCACCAGCGATTCTCTTAGCCGCTGTTGCTCTGCGCAATGACGCGCATCTACGCGGCGACAGAGACGGGAGACCGAGCCACGCAACCATCGAAGTTTGGGGCAGAACGGGCAGGCGACCCCCCGGCCGTCGCTGGGCAACGATGCAGGAAAGGCTCTCTGCAACTGCCTCTTTATCATTTTCCTGACTTGAGAGAAGAACGACTGGATCTCCTCCTTCTGGGCGCCTCCGAAATCGACGCTCGCAAACACCTCGACCCCGCCCACGCGACTGCCCTGAGCGAGCACGGGGGGGCTGCTCTCAGGCCCTTCATTGGCACCCCGAAGAATGCCCAGTGGGATCTGATCTGGCTGGGATAGCGCAGCCCCCGCCAGCTCCTGATCTCGGCTGCAGCAGAAGAAGAACTCGGACGCTGGGGCCTGGCCTGGTTGAGAGCTTGGTGCCTCCAGCGGGGCCTGGTCTGGCAGGCACCCGAAAAAGGACTCGAAACGAGCCATGCTGTCACTGCGCCTTGCCGATCAGCAATGCCTCCTTGAGCCAAAACGGCAACGCAACATAGGTGGCCATCCTGGAGGCCATCTGGGAGGCCATCTCGGAGGCCACCTTGGGGGCCATCTTAGCCCATCGTCACCATCGTCATTCCCATCATCAACGCATTGGGACCATCTTGGAAGCCATCTTGGGCCATCTTGGCAATCTTGCATGCCATCTTCGGCGCCTCGGAGGCCATCTTGGGGGCCATCTTGGGCCATCTTCGCGAAGGCCATCTTGAAGAACAAATTGGGGGCCATAGTGGGCCACGGTCACCATCATCATTACCACCATCAACGTCTTGGGGCCATCTTGGAGGCCATCTTGGGCCATCTTGGCAATGTTGCATTCACTCTTTGGCGCATTGGAGGCCATATTGGGGGCCATCCTGGCCCATCTTCTCGGAGGCCACCTTGGAGGCCATCTTGGATGCCAGACCAGATCAGACCAGACAAGACCATACTAGACCAGACCAGAATGACGACGAGGACGAGGACGAGGACGACGACGACGACGACGAGGACGAGGACGAGGACGACGACGACGACAACGACGACGGCGACGGCGACGACGACGACGTCAGAGCCGCAACTGGCAAAATTTTGTCTCACAGCGGTTTCTGACGACGACGACGGCGATTTGTTGCTGCGCCTTCCGCTTGGCGCAACACCGTCGATTGATCTCCTGCCTAGACATGGCGGACCCATGCAAAGGCCGCCTGCCCCGCTTCGCACCGTAGCCCCTAATATCATGGCCTTTGCTGCGACGGTCGCGCTCGGTCCGCGCACTGGCCCTGCCGGCCACGACATTGCGTTTGCGGCTGCACCCTGGCAGCGTCAAAGGCCCAGGTCCCTTTGGAAGTCTCGCGCAAGGCTAGACCGTTCGAGATTGCCTTGCTTTGCTTTTGTTGAACTTCACTAAAGTGGGGAACTCTCGGGACAGCGCCATCATGGCTTCGGCTTCTATTTTTCCCCGGGCAGAGAGCTGCAAAACTGACTGCTGACCACCGCCTTCACGATACGCCCGTTTAACGGAAAACATTTGTTAACGCAGGAACCCGCCGTCTTTGGCCCAATAACGGCAGCTCAGCTCCAGGTCGGCGCAACATTCACGCACAGTCAGGCCGGGTGCTTTTCTATTCCAACATCCGAACAGTCCATTCTGGACAAGTCCATATTTGCGGCTCACCTTTTTCGGCGTCATTGATAGAGTACTCTGACAGGGGCAGACGCCCCAGAGCCATGCTCCTTCCTTGTAACAGAGATCGCCTGCGTGGTTGATTAAGGCCTGCAACAACCCGCAAGGCATCATGATCACAACTTTTTCCCCGCTTCGATCATAGTGCACAAAATGAACGTCTGACACATTGTCCAGCATGCAAACTATATAAGTCCCTTCGGGATAATGCTGTCGCATGCACTCCCACTGCGCACGAAGACCAATATTGCCTCGTTTTACTACACTTTTTCCGCCCCATGCTCTCGCAAAGACGTTTCGTATCGTTTCAGCTCTGGATCGGTTTGCTTTGGTAGCGTGGTGACAGCAACCCAGATGTGAATCCGCTGCGGTTGGATCTGGTGTCGCCGCAAAAGAAAATCCAACGTTTTCTCGCAAAGAACATCAGGGCGGTCAACCGATGGAATCACAATAGTACAGTCATGGCCGCCTCGCCCAACGTAGGATTCAAGAGCTCTCATGCTGGCAACTTGATCACAAAGGCAACGGAACAGATAATGGAGGGATGGAGGAACAATGAATAAGTATTACTGAGCACGTGTTCAAAGGAATACGAGAGCACTCGCGCAAGCTGGAGGACAACGCTGGGACTGGCACAGCAGGTGTGTAAGACAAAGTGCTGCCGGGTTGACGTGTCTAGCACGCTGTTCCTATTTTCCTCAGGGACGGGGGGGGGGCAGGCGAGCCGATCCGCAAACATTTTGTCTTACACGCTTGCCGTCAGGGAAGCTGGCACGCCGCGTCCCCCCCTTTTTCCCCCTTTCCTCCTCCTCCTCCTCCTCCTCCACCCTCCTCCTCCTCGAGGCCCCACGATTGCCAAAATGGCCCCAAGATATCCCAGAGATTGCCAAGTTGGCCCAAAGCGGCGTCAAGATGGCGCCTCCGGGGAAGCGTGGAAGTGCAAAAATGGCAGAACGGATCGCCCAAGATGGCTGCCTGACAGAAACTCCCGGTACCCTGGCCTCTTCCGCCTCCTCCCAATCTGGTACGTTTATTAACTGATTAGCTTTAGCAGCCGCCGTTCCTCCTCCACCCGGCCCTTCTGCGCCCCCTCCCAATCTGGAGGCTGCTAAAGTTATTAGAATAATAGAAGTTGGTAAAGTTAATAAAGTTAATAAGTATTAACTTTCAGCAGCCTCCGTCCCTCCACCACCTGGGCCTCCTCCGCCCCTTCCCACTCTGGAGGCTGCTAAACTTAATAAAATTAATAAAGCTACTAGAATTAATGAAATTAATTCCCAAATTAATTCTATGAACTTTATCAATTTGATTAACTTTATTACCTTTATTAACTTTGTTAACTTTGAGCAGCCTCCGTTCCTCCTCCACCTGGGTCTCCCCCGCCCCCTCCCAATCTGGAGGCCGCTAAACTTAAAGTTAATAAAGTTTATTAAGGTAATAAAGTTAATAAAGCTAATTCCCAAAATTAACTTTATTAATTTTATTAACTCATTAACTTTATTAACTGTATTAAGTTTAGCAGCCTCCGTTGTTCCTCCGCCCCCTAGCCTCCTCCGCCTCCTCCCGAGCTGGAGGCCACTAAAATTAATGAAGTTAATAAAGTTATTATGTTAATAAAAGTAATTCCCGACTTAACTTTATTAGCTGTATTAACTTCACTAACTGCACTAACTCTATTAACTTTATTAACTTCATTAACTTTAGCAGCCTCGATTCCTCCTCCTCCTGGCCTCCTCCGCCTCCTCCCACCCTGGAGGCTGCTAAAGTTAATAAAGCTAATAAAGTTAATAAAATTAATTCAATTGGCTCTGGAATTGACTTTAATAACTATATTAACCTTATCGCCCGCCGTTCCCCCCCCTCGAGGGCCTGGTGATTCTGTTTATCAACCCCGGAAGAAGTTAAGAAAGTTAATAACGTTAATTCTAAGCCCCCTGGGGCCGCAATCCACTCCAATCCCCCCCCCCACCTCCCTCGCCCTCGTGATGCTGGCACCGATGATGCAAATCCTCCTGGGCTCATTTCCTCCGCTCTCGTCCAGTCCCGTTCATCCTTGGCCCTTCGGCCACCCCTCCAATCGAACCCCTTCCTTCCCACCGCCCACCATCCCCACCCCCCCGCGCCTTTGCATGCCCAGACCACGGCCCCCTCCTGGACCAGCCAGGAGACCCGCGGAAACTCCCGCTCAGAGACCACCCCAGCGAACGGCGCGCAACGAATGCACAATTAGAGAGACGAGCTGTGTATTTCGACCGCGCACGACGCCCCCCCTGGACCAGCCGGAAGAGAAACGCGAAAATTCCCGCCCATTCAACACCACCCGCGAGGAACACACTCCAAATACGCAGATGGGAACGAGATCTGTGTACACAAATCACACCACGATCTGTGTAAACAGCGGACCCACACACGAAAATACACAGTTGAAGACACAAACTGTGTACACAGATCACACCTTGATCTGTGTATTTCGAAAAAGGTAAACGTTCGCCACCTCGAGGGCCCCCCGACTTTGCCAGCCCAGAACCGAAGTTGCCATGCCCAGCTGGGGGGGAATGCAAATACACACTTCCCTGGCCCAGGGCGCCCCCGAGAGAACCAGAACCGCAAATGCACGCTTCCCTGGCCCAGGCCGGCCGCGGTGTAACGCGGCCCCAAAGCGGCCCCCAACGGCCCGAAGACGCCCCAAAAGGCTTCGAAGGACCCCAAAGAATGCCGCGCAGCAATCCGAAAACACGAGAGATGTCACATGTCATGGACCTCTTCACAATCAAAGCTCCACGCGTCGCCATATAGACCACTGTTCTGGCAGGGGGCGGGCCTTGCCGCAGGCACCTATAATCTACGTGTTGTTAGCGATGCGACTGTGTTCGGCGGCCTTGCCGCCCGCATGTTGGGTGCGCCCCGAACTCTCGCATTGGCAATCCCCTCTGTTTGGCTGCGCCGCTGTGCTCGGATATCGAAAAAGCATTCACCGCTGACGCGGGCACGCGGCACCAGGGACTTCACTTTTCGAACAAGGAGGGTGGGCAAGGTAGGACGACGGACGGTGGAGCAGGGAGGCAAAGAGGAACGAGGAATAATAAGGGAGGTTGGAAGGGGCGTTCCCCCGCCCGAACCGCGGACGTTGTCGACACCATCCAGGGGAGGGAAGAAAGGAAGGGGAACGGAGCAAGGGCGAGGACGACGACGGGAAGCAAAGTGTCCCGGGTCCGCAT